CTGCCATGAAGGAAGAAATGGATGCTTTGTTACAACAGAAGACTTGGAGACTTGTTCCACTTCCTCCAAGTAAAAATTTGGTTGGCTGCAAATAGATTTATAACATCAAGAGGAATCCGGATGGTTCAATTGCAAGACACAAGACTCGGTTAGTGGCAAAGGGAATTTCTCAGGAAGTTGGTTTGAATTATTATGAAACTTTGAGTCCCGTGGTCAAGCCAACTGCTGTGAGGTTAATGTTGTCTTTAGCAGCAACTCATGGTTGGAAACTCAAGCAATTAGATGTCAAGAATGTATTCTTACATGGTTTTCTTGAAGAGGAAGTTTACATGTCACAACCTCAAGGATTTATTGACAAGAATCATCCTACCTATGTCTATAAGCTAGAGAGGTCCTTGTATGGGCTAAAGCAAGCTCCCCGAGCATGGAATGACAGGTTCACCACCTTCCTACTCTCCTTGGGGTTTAAATCATCCTATGCTTATCCGTCAATATTTGTTAAACATGATAGTAAGCATATTGTTGTGTTATTGTTGTACGTGGATGATATAATTCTAATTGGAGATAGTTCAACTTGTGTTGTGATCGCTCAGTTGACAACTGAGTTTAATATGAAGGATTTAGGTGTTCTTCATTATTTCCTTGGTTTACAAATTGACTATCAAGATCAGGGGCTGTTTGTGCATCAATCTAAGTATGTTCAAGATTTACTACATAAAACAGACATGATGCAATGTAAGCCGTGTATAACTCCGTGTCATCCAAATAAAAAACTGTTGAATCATGGTAGTCCTTGTTATCAGATCCCACCAATTATAGAAGTATTGTAGGGGCATTACAATACTTAACGTTTACTTGGCTAGACATTGCTTATTCTGTGAATCATGTGTCAATTCATGCATTCACCTTTGAAGTCTCACTATGTTGTCAAGAGGATTTTGAGATATCTTCGAGGCACCTTAGGATGGGGTATATGTTTTCGACCTGGTTCATTAGCACTGAAAGCATACACGGATGCTAATTGGGCATGTGATCTCAATGATCGAAGGTCTACTACAGGTTTTGTTGTCTTTGTTGGCTCTAATCCTATCTCCTGGAGCTATAAAAAACAGCACATTGTTAGTAGATCATCAACAAAGGCTGAGTACAGGGCAATGACAACTACTACTGCAGAAATTGTGTGGCTGTAGCAACTATTAAAAGATTTGCACATTGACAGTTCGACCTAGTTTGGGAGTGAGGTGCTTAAAAAAAAGCACCTATGAAAAAAAGCTGTTAGGGTTTTAGGTGTTTGGTAAACTGAAAAAAAGGGCTTATTTTGGAAGCTGCTGTGAGAATAAGCTGAAATCAAAGGAAAAAGCTGAAGTTGCTATTTGCAGCTTTGGAAAACTGGCTTTTTTTCAAAGCACACGGGGCTACAGTGCTCCTTTAAAGAAAAGACCCACTATCAGACTGCTTTTTTTTCCAAAAGCACTTTTACAAAAAAGTTTACCAAACGCTCTGCTGATTTATTTCACAGCCGCTTATTCTCACAGCACAGCCGCTTATTCTCACAGCAGCTTTTTTTCAAAGCACAGCAATACCAACCAGCCCTTCTTCTCCTCCTTTACTGCACTGTGATAATATATCTGCCATGGCATTAGCAACAAATCCTATTTTTCTCTCAAAAGCCAAACATATTGAAGTTGATTGTCACTTTGTGCATGAACGTGTTCAACAAGGAACCTTTTCTCTCCAATTTGTTGCTTCTGCAGATCAACATGCAGACATGTTCACTAAAGGCTTATGTTCTCCTTTGTTAACACTCATTGTTCCAATCTTATGCTTGCTTGTTCTCAGCATAAGATTGAGGGGGAATGTTAGAGTATAAGGTTGAATAGATTGTAACAAGTGTCAATTGTAAAAGAGTGTCATGTGTCAGTTTGTTATTGAGATCTTGATGTCAGATGTTAGTTATACTGTGAGGTATTTATATTGTAGTAAAAATAGGTATTCATTTAATGAAAACAAAAGTTGATAAGTCGGTTACTACTTTCTCTCTCTATTTTCTTGTGTATTATTTCTCTCTCTAAGATTTCTTAGCTGCGTTGATATTGTTTATGGTTCAGTATAGACTGAAGAGGACCCTAAAACAAACCAATGGTTTTATTTTAGTGCATCAATATTTTTCCACTAAAGGAAGGGGAAGTTCAGCAAAGCCACACAATGGGTAGCGTAATTTGATATTGAATTCGCCATCTACGATATTCGAACCTAAGACATTTTTTAAGTGAAGATGAATACTACCAAACCGCTGTAAAACAAACCAATGCAAAGTAGTAGTACTCAGTTCAGATTAACGATCATATATCAATTCAAGAATGTTATTTAACTCCGACAGATCCACGAGAGAATATATCCATACAAAGAGAGACCGTTGTATCTATATACCTCATGCCGACCCTCTTTACAAGTTTTTCTGCAAATTTTACACTGCAAAAGTGAGAGACCATTCACCTTTCTCTTCTATACAACTCGACAGCTATCAACGCAGCATTGACGCTGAGTTTGCATGTGTCTCTCTCTCCATTCTGTTGCAATAGTCACCAAGAGTGACAATTTCTCTGAGCGTATCACACTGCACAAGTCATTCACCCGAGCTTGAGAGGTGTTCGTTTACGGAAGGCCACGATGTGGAGGATCACGAAGAAAGAAATGAGCCAAGTGTCGGCTCGGCGGCGGTAGCGGGAGGCGAAGAAAGAGAGCTTGGGTTCTTGGAGAGTTTCGGGAGCTGATGAGGCTTGATGTCGATCTGGGTCTGAAGCTTCGATCGGTCGGCGGCCATTGTCGGTTGCTCTCTTTCTGTCAGCAAGAATGTGGGGATATGGGGTATTGGGGTTTTCTTGGAGAAGACGACTCAGTGGTTTCCAGCTGTTATGCGGTTGGGCTCTGGCGGGAAGGCTCTCTGAACCGTTTTTGTAGCGTGCTTAAAGAGTTGAAACGACGTCGCCCAGGATTTAAACTTAGGATTTTGGGCATTAATAGAAGATGATTAATGACCGGATCCGTGGCGCAATGGTAGCGCGTCTGACTCCAGATCAGAAGGTTGCGTGTTCGATTCACGTCGGGTTCAATACCCTGTCCCGGTTTTTTTTTTGTTATTTATTTTGGTTGGTACTATAAAAATAAGTAAAAACTCCCCACTTGTTTTTCCCCAATTTCCATGATATAATTAGTTGCATTCTCCTAAATCTTTTAAATTATTATTTTACAAGAATTAGTGTTTTACGATGCTATTTGATATATATAAAAATAAAAATAAACACACATGAGTATTTTCTAGAGAAGCACAAGCTAGACGATTTTTTTCAAAATTGTTCACTCTTATCAAAGATAACATGTTTTTAAATATAATTTAAATTTTTGATATTCACGTTTGAATTTTAAATAAATTTTGTGCTATCTTGTGTACTATATACAATTTTACATAAAACATCTAAAGAATATGACAAAAGTCCATACTTGAGAAAGTTATGAACTTTATTCGCCCTTAATATGTTTTTCTTTTGGAATAATTAGGACTCAAACTTAAAAAAATCGCCAATTCCCTTTTAATGTCTAATTTCTACTCATTTCATCCTTTTTTTTAGTACATCGATATTTTTACACTAAAGGGATTGAGAGTTTGGCTAAATTACAAAATGAGTAGCCTAATTTAGTATCGAGTTCAGCATGTACCACTTAGCCTAAACCCTCATTTCATCCAAATTTTAGATTAATAAGTCAGCATGTACCACTTAGCAATGTCCTGTGCTTTTTTCCTTTTAGAATTTTTGGTGTCTTTGATGTATTGTAGACGTTTTCAATGTAACTATAAGTTGAATCAATAAATATTAGTCTGTATTAAAAAAAATAGAAAAAAAAATTACTCAACTAAATTATTTTTGTTTTTTCTTTAAAAAGGAAAATAACTGGTGACGAACCATGATTATCCACCATTTTTAGGTCTTGCAAAGTATCGAACTCAGTAACTCTTTTTTTTTTCTTTAGGGAGCAGTCACTCACACTTTACCATTGGATCACTTGTCTTGGTTTCTCACTTATAAGTAAAGAGAAATACAAATCATAGTATTAAGAGGAATACCAATAAATTATTTTTGGACTATTTTACTACAACACTCACACACCCAACACCACATCAAACCCTATGTTTAAAAAGTGGGAGCATTTTTGCCCACTATCATGACTATACTGTATGCTTATCATACACTTAATTATTTCTCATGTGTCTTTTCACTTAACTTTAGTTCACTTTCACATTAAATACTACTTTGCAATTTTGAAAAAAATTAATCAAGGTTAATTGAAATGATGCGTGACAAATGATTAGGTATGTGATGAGTATACACCAAAATTTAGGGTGGCGAACAATGTCCTATGCTTTTTTCCTTTTAGAATTTTTGGTGTCTTTGAGGTATTGTGGACGTTTTCAATGTAAGTATAAGTTTATTCAATAAATATTAGTGTGTATTAAAAAAAATTGAAAAAACTTACTCAACTAAATTATTTTTGTTTTTTCCAAACAGAGAGATAGCGAACTATAATTATCTACCATTTTCGGATCTGAAAGAATTAAGTTGGGAGTTGCACTTTATTTGTGGTCACGATCAAGCAGATTCACATCTTACAAAGTATCGAACTTAGAACCTCTCATTTTTTTTCTTTAGGGACTTGTGGTTCGCACTTTTTCATTGGGCTACCTGTAGTAGTTTCTCACTTATGATAAAAAGAAATATCATCAGATCGTAATATTAAGAAAAACACGACCAAATTACTTTTTTTTTTTTTTTGAAGAATTGAGTTTAAAATAGAAACCCAAGGCTAAGAAGCCAAACAGAAGCAAGAGAGCCTACGACGAGGCAAACACAACGAAACTAAGCACCAAGCAAAGCAGTGAGCAGGGATACAACAACCGACACAATCCCTAAGAGAAAGTGTCACCCCAAACCCACCACAACCTGCTAATGAGGACAAGGAAGACCATCATTACATAATACATGAACTAACGAAGATGGGGGTCTGTCAACCCACACAAAATCACACATCTCCGTAAGACCAGCTGACGCAAGAACATCCGTTGCCATATTGGCTGATCTTGGAACCCAAGACCAGCGACAGTTCTGGAAAGCCGATCCCACCCTTTGAGCTCTAGCCAAAATGGGGAAAGCCTCCCAACTGCCATTTTCAAGAGAACCATTTAAACAGGAAATAGCCTGAAAAGAGTCAGATTCAATGATAACAGAGCTGAAACCCAACGAGGCACCCAATTCACAGCCACGCAGAATCGCAAAAGACTCAGCCACAACAGAAGAAGGAGCCAAAATAGAAGACCTTACCGCTGCCATAAACCGCCCACCATCCTGCCTAGCAACCACCCCCGCAAAACCCATCCGCGAAGAATTAGACCAACTAGCATCCACATTAATCTTAACAAAAGGAGAAGAAGGAGGACACCACCTGACTGCAACAGCCTCCCGAGAAACCGAGACAGGCCGAGCAATACCCGAAGAAGACACAGCAAGCAAAAAATTCCCGAAAGCGATCGACAACGAAAAAATAACCTTAGAATGGCTGATTGGAACCTGATTAAACACATAATCACAGCGAGCTTTCCAAATGAACCAGTTTGGACCATATTACTACAACAACTCTGGTCACACTTACACACCCAGCCAGCCAGCACCATAACAAAATCAAGCCCATCCCTCTGCCCCCAAGAAACATCCGAACACCGCCGCTTCAATTTTGAGGTTTCTTCGGTTATCTTCTCAATTTTATTTTTATTTTTATTTAATTGTGGTGCTGTTTAATTTTTATTTAATTTTGTTCACATTGACCTTGGATATTTTACCCTCCACTGTAAAAAAAAAATAAAAATACTAATGAAAAAGGTATAAAAACTTTAAATTTTAATGATAATGATAAAATAAAAGGTAAAAAAAATAGTAAAAGAATTAATTTTTTAATATAAAAATATTATTTTTCGTTAAATTAAAAAAAAAAAAAAAATTCTGGTCACAGGGGAGCAGCATCCACAGAGTATATCACCCTGCAAATCAATAAATATGCCATCTTTGGTAATACGGACTTCTGGATTAGACTTATCTGATAACATTGCAGGTACTTTTTGAAGGCAGGTTATGCTGTTATCTTTCTATATCGAAGGTAATTTCTGATTCTACCATTTTACATATCATTTGGTCATTTCAACGACTTAACACGATAGAAGAGAATTGTTACTAAACTTTTTGGATTATTCCACAATGTTATGCAGGGGTACTTGCCAGCCATATTGCAGATCACTTCCCGCTGATCCTTTGCTTGAATGTTTTGAATATACGGATGACTCAAATATTAACGGTTTGTAGTTCTTGTTTGCAAAATGATTATATGTGTTTTTTCTCTTTCTATGTAGAACAAAAAATGGACATGGATGACGGAAGAGAAACTTATGTTTCCTCCTCTCTGGTTTAGGGATCAAGAATGATCTTCTTGAATACCAGTACATTAGCAACAAACTACTTCTACCTTGAGAAAAGGCATGAGATAGAAACAGAGTCATTGTGCAATGGATATTTAATTACATTTCTCAAATAAGTAATATTCACGTCCTAGCTGACAATGAGTCTCTTACAATCCTTAAAGGCAAGTAATAAGCTTTTGACTCCTTGACGGCAAATAGCTTTTGAGTACTGGTTGATTCTTGACTATTGGAATTAGAGCCAACCGCAACGTGCTGGTTAAAGTTCCATAAGATGCTAGTGGCTTGATTAAAATGCCTAGGCATACATGCGCGTAGTGCTAAGTCATTAAAACTCTTAGATGAGTGAATATACCCAAAAGAAGAGTGTGATTGGTCTAGTGTCATAGAGTAGGCTGATTTAACTCAGCTTAGAAAGCAGGCTGGAAGGTTACATCCAAAAGGTTAGAGTAATTAAGCCTTGAAGACTCTAGCTTTTGAGGATCAATTCAGATTGCTGTTCTTGAGGAAAAAACCAAGAACTCAATTATCAGAGGAAAACCAAGCTGTTTTTGTCTGCATTAGTAATAGAGATGTCAAACTTTCTGCTTGTCATGTACATTGATGTTCCATCTGTTTTGACATGTTTAGTGTGAGTAACTATGATATTAGATTTTTGTATGCTATTATAGGATTTTATTGTAGAGTTTAATTATCGGAGTTGGTTTTGGGCTTGATTATTGGGTTTTGGGGAGATGGGAGACAGGAATGTTTGAAGTTTTATTTGCAGCTTTGTGGTGATGTTCGAAAGTTAAATCTGACAATAGTATACATATGTTTGACAGTTCTTATTGAGGTGACTAAATCTTGTATTATATTTCCAGTGTGCCAGTCACATTCGGAAGCAGTGAGGAATGCCATCACTCGAAGTCATGCCGTACGATCACTTATATTTATCTTTCTTTGAGTATTATATGTATTTACTTATTGCATATTTTTACTTCCTTTATATGTGGGGATTTATTCTGTTGCAGGCAGTAGCAGGAGGCCTCTTGTTAAAACTTCCCTTCACAACCATATTTGAGTATCTTCAGGTTCGCTTCAGTTGGTTATTAACTTCCCTTCACAACCATATTTGAGTGTCTGGTTGTTTTAGATATAACAGTTATCCTCCTATGCTTGACTAATCTGTCTTTGCGTTTTGGGCAGATGTTGCAGATGATTGCTTTTTCAATAAGAAGTCTCGGGCCACATGCAATTCTTTACCTTGCAGCTGCACTGTCTGACTTTTATGTTCCTTGGAAAAGCATGGTAATGGTTTAATGTATTGAAAAGTTATGTCATACATGCTCTGGCTGCATTCTGTAACTCAATCGACAGATAACAAAAGCTACCCCTTTTAGAAATTGCTAGAGGACATATTTTTTCCTCGATATTCCTTGAAATGCGTAGAAATGACTAGATTATGAATTTTAGAAGCTTGATAGCGTTTCTTTAAGGGCTTATATATGAATCTCTGCAGTTAGATAACATAATCCAGTCCTTTACAAATTTATACAGGACATGTTTATGATCACAATATTCCTCTGAATATATAGGAATGGGTTGACATATGAATCTTGGATGCTTAATTAATCGCTTGTTTGAATGAAAAAACTGTTATATAAGGAGATTAGTGGTCCGAAAGTTGCTTATGAAATAAAGGAAAAAGAATCCTAATACTCCATCTTGTATCGTGTATAAGTTTCATCCAAGTCTAAGCGTTAGCCGCACCATTTCTTAGCAAAGCATGATTGTGCAGGCAGAACACAAAATTCAGTCAGGATCTGGTCCGTTGGACATGCGACTTGTTCAGGTGCCAAAGATGCTATTAGTGCTGAGGAAAGACTGGGCACCAATGGCCTTCTGTATATCATTTAAGGTTTGATAGAAGCTTCTGCTTATTTCTAATTACTGGCATTTCCATTCATTAGTTCACTTGCTGCACTTTAGCGGAAGAGCTATTTTTTTACTTGCATCCATAGACTATCTATACGATAATTTTTTATTTTTTATTTTTTATTTTTTGGTCGAGGGTTGAGGGCGTGGCTGGGTAGCAGTAACCTGAAAATGACATATTTCTGGTGGGGGCTTTTCGTTTAACAGATCTTCCTCGACATGCATGATGCAGTCATATATGTGTACCTCTCAATAATCAAAATCATACCCCCTACCCTTACCTTTGTCATATAATTCTGCTAAAAGTTTTTGACAGATTACAAGATGCAGTATTACTTTTTGGACTTAAAAACCTTTGACATGCTTGCCTAAACAGCTAGAGACGGATTCGAAGATTCTTTTGGAGAAGGCTGATATGGCTCTTAAGAAGTACAAGGTACATATGATTGTAGCAAATGAGCTTTCAACCCGCAAGGAAGAGGTTGTAGTTGTCAGACGCAATGAAAAGATATCAGTTCGCCGAAACCAGTCCCTGGGCGTTGATGATGTGGAGAAACCACTTATTGACCTTATCGTGGGAAGACATTCGGCTTATCTCGAGAATCCTGATTTATGATGAGTATGCTTGATTTCATCCGACAGCGGACCAGTGCAACAAACAGTTCCTATTCTGTTCAAGGTAGCAATATTTGGTTGGCTTTCACCCAAACTTTCGTTTGCCTATCGTAGAATGTAGCTGTTTTATGTCAGCGTAGTACGTTCGAGCAAAAGATTGCAGAACAATTTTGCTCTTGAAAGCAATCATATTACTTGTACTTACTTTTGATGCAGAGACCTTCTGGTGAACTTTTGAAAGATGTATTTGAAGCATATCAACACAGGTGCACGAGAACGGATGCACTGATATAATTAAATGGGATTTTTTTCATTAATTTCTATAAATTTCTTCAACGAAAGATATATACAGGTTAATTTTTCTCTCGTTGTTGAATATAAGTATGGACGGATTTGTCTTCAGCGGCCATTACAAAGTGTATTCTATAGTACAAATTACACTGTCAGAAGCCAAAGAGTAAATCTTGCTCTACCGTTTTTCTTCGTCCTGTGTGTCGAGCTCAAGTCCCTCTGCGGCTAAAAGCTGACCGATGAGCTTTTTCTTGTCTTCCTCTGCTTTCTTTCGCATTAGGTCCCTTTTCTTTAAGACTAGTGTGTGTCGCTTGAGGGTACTGGAGAAATACTCTGCTGAGGCCTTTTTTTCTCTTGCCAGGATTCTCTTCTCTTCATCTGGGTCAACCTGGACGTCAAATACATTGATCTTAGGCCATAAGACGAGAAACCCAGCCAAAACAAAAGAACACAAAAGCTTTATTATAATTTCAAACAATAGATCACACAGAGAAGCACGAGCTTCTGAACATAGTGTTTGATCAGTAATGATAAGAGACAAATCGCCGTCGATGTTTTGTGCATCCGGCAAAAGGCAGAGCTTTGCAGCATTTATCAAACCGTTAGAATAGAGAAATTCCATTTTTATTTCCTAACTACCGAAACTATTCTTCACAGCTGATTCGTGTACTAGGAGAATGATTCTATACCTTGGAACGAGAAAGTCGACGTGCACGAATATTCATCTCACGCTGCTGTTGCTCTTGCCAAGCAGCTATTGCCATATCACCTCGCTGATCAAAAGCTTTTCGCTTCTTTATTAGCCACTCCATCCATGCTTGAGATGCCTGATATAACAGTGCACACAAAGATTCCGTTACTAAAAAAAAAACAAGCTGATCTGTATACAAATCATGAATCTACTCTACATTTTCCTGTATCTATCCTAAAAATATAAGCAAGAAACTACAAGGCAACTTATATGCAAACTACAAATCTTACTTTCATTGGGTTGAGTCGGTTATCCCTATCATATTGTCCCCTCTTCTCGTCATCCATGAGCAACTCATAAGCAGCTTGAATCTTAATAAATCTAGCTTCAGCTGTTTCCCCCTCCTCTAGAGTCCCTCTACCATCATAGACTTGAAAACGGAAGAATACTAGATCAATTTTGAACGTTCAAGCAAAAGCCAATAGACCAAAGGAAATGGCACAAAATATTAGGAAGAGCACATTTACTGATAATCTAACTTTTTTACACATAGAAACCAATACATGCAGCAATCTAACACAAAAGGAAAGACGATAAGCAATATGCCTGATATCAGTTAAAAAAAAAAAATCACATGAAAATTAAACCACGCTTGGAGACTAGAATTGGATTCGAGGTATATGAGGGAAGACATGGAGGCAAACTTCAAAATTTGACAAGTTGAAAGAATAAGATAGATTAGTCAGAAACCTTATCCCTCCTTCAACTTGGACAAAATTTGGAATGGCCTTCATTTCTTACTCTAGTCAGTTATCCAATTCCAATTCTAGGCCGCAAATGCAGCCGTAAGGAATAAAAACAACTTCCAATGTCATAAGCCCTTTTGCACAATAACTTTGTTGCACACAAATTGCAAAGATTCTTCAAGTTGAAATTAATGACGATTTTACTGAAGGGTTTCACCATATTAAACCAACAATTGTTTACATACATTATCTTATTACAAAATGTTTCTTTTGATTTGTGATTAACTGATAACACCACTAGCAAAGTAGCAAATTACAGATATGAAATCGAAAAATTCGAAAAGAATTTCGAAACAAGACAAGGGAGCATACCATCTGGATGATAGAACTTGGCCAACCGTCTGTAAGCAATCTTTATCTGGTCATCGTCAGCGTTCCTCTCTAATTCTGATTTTCAAAAAACAAAATCCAAAAATTAGAAAGTTAGAGACAGTAAAAATGTTAGAAATTCCAGATTTAAAAAAAAAAAAAAAATCAAACGTTGAAGCTTTATCCAATTACCAAGAGTTTCGTAGGGAGATTTGGGATGGTCCCAACTGGAAGCCCTAACCACCATCCTTCTCTGATTGACCCGGGACCACCCGCCCCAATTCAATCTCGCAAAATCGGACACCCGCGGAAAGCGAGGACTGCAATTAGGGTTTCGAAATGAAACCCTAGAGCCGAAGCGAGCTTGGTGTCTGCAACACACGAAGGACGTGAAGACCGTGTGCGGCCGACAGATGGTTCTCAAATTGCTCATTGTTTTGTTCTATTCGGGTACTATCTCAGCCTGTCAGATCGGAGATCCGACGGATTTGGAAAGAATTGGTCACAATCAAATTGGAAATGGAAATTAGGGTTTTCAATTTGGGCTGCGAAGGTTGAAGGCGTCAAGGAAGTGGAAAGGTTCTGAACTTCTGATAATGAATATTTTTCAGAATCTGACTGAATTTGGGTTTTTTTTTTCATTTTTTTTTCATTTTAATTTGTAATTTTGGTTTTTATATTTTCCCCTTTTATTATATTTTCCACGGGAAATTTTTGTGGACAGACAGAGGCTTCCTGCAGCATGACAGTTAGGATCTTGGACTTACCCGCCAAAAGTGAAAATAAAAATAAAAACAGTACCCCAAAACTATGGTATTTTACGAATTATCTTTTATTATGTCAATCTATATTATGGGTTAGCCATAATAATTTTGTTTACAATATACTATTGACGAGAATCGAATTTAAGACATGTCACTTACAATGACGATGAATACAACTATATTGTAATACTAAAATGACATGATAATTGTTATTAAACTATTGACCAAGAATGCACATTCAAATATAATTTTTCATGTATACATACGTCTACTCTCAAAGAAATTTTTTTTCTATCACAGTTGTATGCCCTAATTGTATATGTATCTCTTTTCGCATTACACAAAAGAGTGTTTCGTACAACTTCAACTAAGTATTTCTCCTAATCCTGCATGGCATTTCATGTTCAGAGTTCAATTTTTGAGCTCAAAAGCGGAACTTTTAGCTGGACTTAAAATTGTGGATCTAATGTTCAAAATAATCAGGCAAAGTTTAATGTTCAAAATAATCAGGTAAAGTTCCCAATAATATAAGAAATGAGGTTAAAATATAACTCAACAAACCTTGATATTTCAGACTAATTTACACATTTATTTAGTGTTAATAACTTAATATCCCTCCCATTTCAATCAAACTAGTATATGCAACAAGCATTGGACAATGGAGATTTGACTTGAAAACCTATATGTGTGTTTTGAATTGGTGACACTCAAGCACTAAACTTCTTCATATTTACACCTTCTGTAATATATGTATCAATGGAGACTAGGTGGTAGCTAACTGTTGGTTCACCGCGGCGAACGGTCCAAAGAAAATCGAGGGCACGTAGCCGGTGAAAGTCCTCCCTCAATGCAAGCAAGCCTCGCGCTGCTTGGTGCCCGTTGTTTAGGATCTAAGACATTTTCTGCAAAGTTTCCTACCGGAGATGATATTCTCAGAAATTGTAATATACTTCATTATCATTTGTTTACAAGAGGGAAGTCCTCTCATATAGAGGGCCAAAAACTACATAACTAGTCCTAACAAGTGGACAAGCCAAATGATGATTACATGAGGAAAACATCGAAGAGGAAAATAAGGAGAAAAGGAATTCAAAGCAAAGTAATGATGACTAAACACCGAGGAGGAAAATAAAGAGAAAAGGAATTCAAAGCAAAGTAATGATGACTAGCTATAAAGTAAAGTAATGATAGCTAGTTATAAAGTAAAATAATGATGACTAGCTAGAGGAATAATTACAAGTCTATTATCTATACCAATAATGTCTAGCAGCAGCTGTTGTTGACACTCCCCCTCAAGTTGGTGCATAGATGTCATGAATGCCCAACTTGCTTAGTGAGTTGTGAAATACTGAACTTGTGACTGCTTTGGTGAGCATGTATGCTAATTGATCTTCAAATTTAACGAATTGAACTTCAATAAGTCTTGCCTTAATTTTTTCTTTAATAAAATGTGTATCCACCTCCACATGTTTGGTTCGATAATGTTAAACCGGATTGTGAGCAATGTCAATTGCAACCTTGTTGTCATAATGTAGACGCATAGTATGCTTGGGCCTAAATCCCAAATCTCACAATAAATTCTTCACCCAAAGCAGTTCACATACTCCATGTGCTTCATTGGAAACACCCAAGTCATTCTAGTACAGTCATCTATAAATGTCACAAACCATTTAAATCCAGAAGTTGTAAGAATTTTGGCAGGACCCTAAACGTCAAAATGAACGACCATGAATGGCACAGAACTTTTATTTAATCTTAATGGATAGGAAACACGATGACTTTTGGCCAAAATACAAATTTCACAATGGAAATTGGATTATTTGAATTAGGGAAAAAGTTCAGGGAATAAAAGTTTAAGATAACCAAATGCGGAATGTCCTAATCGCCTGTGCCATAACCAAATCTTCTTCATTCGGGTTGATTCATCTCTGCTTACATGATGCACTTGACTTAATCTATTGCTGCATTCTTCCGTTAAGTCCAAATAACATAGTTTGCCCCTTCTAGTACCACAACCAATCACGGCCCTAGTGAGCAGATCTTGGAAAAGACAGTATAGTGGCAAAAAAGAAACAGAACAATTAAGGGAGTCAATAATTTGAGAAACAGATAAAAGATCGTAATCTAGGGATGGTACAACTAGGACATGATCAAGATTGAGTGAGGAAGTTAGTGAAAGAGAGCCTTCTCCAGTAACCGGAGAGATTGAACCATTGGCATTGGTAATGAATGTCTGGTTGGCTGTTTTTAGTAAGTGAAAAATGTTAGCATCGGATGTCATGTGATCTGTGGCACCTGTATCAATAATCCATGATCTATTACAAGTATTAGCGGATGTAGAATTAGATATACCTGAGGTGTTCAAGGCTTTTGGGACATGGTCAGATGAGCTAACATCTTGAGAAGACTCAGAGGTGGTGAATGATGCTCTGCTGGATTCCTTATTTCGTCC